AGTCTCTATGATATCCCTTTATCATATCAGGAACGAAGCCATAAGTCATCCAGTGTAAGACCTGGTTCTGAGCTAGGATCTATCCACAGGAAACAGTGAAAGCCTCCTACTTCAGATGAACTTGTATGCTGAAATTCCAGAATTCATGAGGAAAACTAATGTTCAGAAAGATAGTCAATAAACCCAGTACACGTAAATTTACTCCAGAGAAAATAAATAATTGAGCTATTTAAAACTAACTTTGAGGCCAGGTTGGGGTGGTTCACACCTGTAATCCTGGCACTTTCAGTGGCCACGGTGGGCAGATCACTTGAGCCCAGGAGTTCGAGACCAGCCTGGGCAACACAGCAAAACCCTGTCTCTACAACAAATATAAAAATTAGCCAGGCGTGGTGGCACACACCTGTAGACCCATCTACATGGGAGGCACTTACTATCTTTTAAATTCATTCTCTATTCTGTCTGGTCAGCCTGAGTAATGCAGGGTCTACAGTGTATCTACCCTGTAGGTTTATTTTTATTTAATTAAATAAATGAATGAGAGTAGCTGGGATTACAGGTGTGTGCCACCACACCTGGCTAATTTTTGTGTTTTTAGTAGAGATGGGGTTTTGCCATGTTGGCCAGGCTGGTTGATTTAACACAGTTTATTTATTTATTTATCTTTCTTTCTTTCCTTTCTTTTCTTTTCTTTTTTTGAGTTGGAGTCTCATTCCGTTGCCCAGGCTGGAATGCAGTGGCATGATCTCAGCTCACTACAACCTCTGCCTCCTGGGTTCAAGCATTTCTCCTGCCTCAGCCTCTCAAGTACCTGGGATTGCAAGTGCCCACCACCACCCCTGGCTAATTTTTTAATTTTTAGTAGAGACATGGTTTCACCTTGTTGGCCAGGCTGTTTTTGAACTCCTGACCTCACATGATCTGCCTGCGTCAGCCTCCCAAAGTGCTGGGATTACAGACATGAACCACTGTGCCTGGCAGTTCAACAGAATTTCTATCAAAATTCCAAATAATCTTTTTCACTGAAATAGAAAAGCTAATCCTCAAAATCATATGGAATAGCCAGGACAGTCTTGAAAAAAGAATATGAAATTGGAAGATTCAAACTTCCCAACTATAAAACTTGCTATGAAGCCATAGTAATTCAAGTATTATGGTACTGGTATAAGAACAAACATGTAGACCACTGGAGTAGATTAAGGAGCCCAGAAATAAACTTTTACATATATGGTCATTTGATTTCCTGCAGGTGCAATTCAGTAGGGAAAGGATAGTCTTTTCAACAAATGGTGCTGGGAAAACTGGATATCCACATGGGAAAGAATGAAATTGAACTATAAAACTCATAGAAGAAAACATAGGGGAAAGTTTTCATGACATTAAGTTTAGCAGCGATTTCACAGATATGACACAAAAAACACAAGGAACAAAATATATAAATAAATCGGAGTTCATCAAAATTAAGCACTTTTGTGCATCAGATGATATATCATGAAAGGGAAAGGACAACCCACACAATAGGAGAAAATATTTGCAAATCATATATCCAATAAGGAATGAATATCCAGAATATGGAAGGAACTCCTGCAACTCAACAACAACAAAACAACCCAATTTTAAGATGGACAAAGGACTTGAATAGATATTTCTCCAAAGAAGATATCCAAATAGCCAACATATGAAAAGATGCTCAATATCATTAGTCATTGGTGAAATGCAAATCAAAACCGTAAGATGCTACTTCACACCTTCTAGGTTGGCAATTTTTTAAAAAGGACAGTAGCATGTGTTGGTGAGGATGTGGAAAAATTGGAACCCTTGTGCATTGCTAGTGAGAATGTAAAATAGTACAGCTGCTCTGGAAAACAATTTGGTTGTTTCTCAAAAGGTTAAACCTATAATTACTGTCTGACCCAGGAATTGCACTTGTAGGGGTAGAGCTAAAAGAATTAAAGAAAGGACTGAAACAGATACTTGTATACAAATCATAGCAGCATTATTCACAATAGCCAAGAGGGAGAAGTAACCCAAGGGTCCATCAACTGATGAATGGATAAACAGTATATGATATATACAGACAATGGAATGTTATTCTGCTTTAAAAATAAAAGAAATTTATGGCCCTGCAGTGGCTCACACCTGTAATCCCAACACTTTGGGAAGCTGTGGAGGAAGGATCATTTGAGGCCAGGTGTTCAAGACTTGAGACCAGCCTGGGCAACACAGGGAGACCCTGTCTCTATTATTTAAAAAAATATGAAGGAAGGAAAGAAGAGGGAGGGAGGGAGGGAAAGAAAGAAAAGAAATTTTGATACATGCTGTGTGAACAGACCTTGAAAATGTTATTCTTAGTGAAATAGGCCAGAATGGCAGATATCACATGATTCCACTTATGTGAGGTACTTAGAATAGACAAGTATATAGAGACATAAAGTAGAATAGAGGTTGTCAGGGGCTGGGGGCTGGGCAGAATGGGGTGTTGGTGTTTAATTGATATCACATTTTTGTTGGGGATGATGAAAAAGTTTTGGGTATAGATAGTGTTCACAGTTGCACAGCATTGTGAATATATTTAATGACACTGCATTGTACACTTGCAAATGGTTAAATGATAAATATTATGTATATTTTACCACATTAAAAAAGTGTTCCAATTTGAAAAGAGATAGATCCTAGTCACATTCTAAAAAATAGTATCAGACGAGAAGACTGTACATAAGTTATAGAAAGTGTGTTTTGGCCTTTGTCTTGTTTTTATTTTTATTTTATTTATTTTGAGACAGGGTCTTGCTCTGTCACCCAGGCTAGAGTGCAGTGGCACCATCACCTCACTGTAGCCTTGAGTTCCTTGGCTCCAGGAGTCCTCCCACCTCAGCCTCCTGAGTAGCTGGGACCACAGGCATGCGCCAGAATGCCCAGCTAACTTTTGTATTTTTTCATAGAGTCAGGGTTTCACTATGTTGCTTAGGCTGGTTTCAAACTGCTGAGCTCAAGCAATCCACCCACCTCAGCCTCCCAAATTGCTGGATTATAGGCATGAGCTACCATGCCTGGCTCCTTGTCTTGTACTGGAGAGTTATAAAGATAATGAGTATTTTCAGACATTTTCAAAAATGTATAGATAGGACACGCACGGTGGCTCATGCCTGTAATTCTAGCACTTTGCGGGGCTGAGACGGGTGGATCACTTGAACTCAGGAGTTTGAGACCAGTCAGGGCAACATGGTGAGACCCCCGTCTCTATTAAAAATCCAAAAAAATAGCTGAGTGTGATGATGCATGCCTTTGGTCCCAGCTAATCAGTAGGCTGAGGTGGGAGGATTGATGCTTGAACCAGGAGGGCAGATGTTGCAGCGAGCTGAGATGGGGCCACTGCACTTCAGCCTGGGTGACAGAGCGAGACCCTGTCTGGGGAAAAACATGGAGAGAAATATTATGTTAATTTTTTAAGATGGGGTCTCACCATATTGCCCAGGCTGGACTCAAACTCCTGGGCTCAAGCGATCCTCCCTCCATCCTTAGCCTCTGAGAACTACAGGCATGCACTACCATGCCTGACTGATTATGTTACATTTTATTTTATTTTTATTTTTTTTGAGACGGAGTTTCGCTCTCGTTACCCAGGCTGGAGTGCAATGGCGCAATCTCGGCTCACCGCTACCTCCACCTCCTGGGTTCAGGCAATTCTCCTGCCTCAGCCTCCCGAGTAGCTGGGATTACAGGCGCGTGCCACAACGCCCAGCTAATTTTTTTTGTATTTTTAGTAGAGACGGGGTTTCACCATGTTGACCAGGATGGTCTCGATCTCTCGACCTCGTGATCCACCCGCCTCGGCCTCCCAAAGTGCTGGGATTACAGGCGCGAGCTACTGCGCCCGCTGCTGCATTTTTCATTTTCCTTTGCTTAAGACAACAGCACTGCATGGTTAGGTTAACACTTTCATTGCTTTTGAAAACCATTTACTAATCTTTTGTCAGATAATGTCCTCATACTTCCTCATCGTGTCTTAGAAGTAGATGTCTATGCTAGCTCTCCACGAAAGAAGGGTATATAATTTGCTGTTTCATACAGTGCTGTTAATATTAACAGGAAGGAACTGATTTTATCCTAAATGAAAACGTACTCTATATTAAAGACAAGTTAGACACTTTCCCATGAAGTTGGGCTGGGAGAAGGAAAACGGAATAGATGGCTCCTGAAATGTTTTCCTGTATGGTTCAGAGTCAGAATTTTCCCCTAGCCCCTTTAAATGGCCAACAAATGAAAACTGGCGTTTGGAATTACCACCATTTCTCCATTGCTTGCCATCTTCAATTTAATATCTGCTTTTCCACAAAGATTAACATGTTTTCCACTCATGATTTACTTCTCAGGGAATTTAGGAGTTTTCTGGAACCTAAAGTTTACTCTGGTAGGGATGATTACTGGATAACTGCCTATTTTTTGGTGGAATTTCCATTTTTAGATTATACCAGGCTCTACAGCCTTTATTTCTTTGGCAGGAAAACCCAAAGGCAATGGAGTATATTTTTTCCCTTCCCTGGCCCAGCTTAAACAATGACTCACTTGGGCCCTGGGGCTTTGCTTCATACTCTCATCTAGGGGCCACTTTATACCCTTGTTTCTGTTTTCCTTTCTTGTTCTGTTTGGATACTTTATGTCCTTTGGCACATGGGATTTGTCTCTGGGATTATTGTCAGAGAGATACACAATACCACCCCAAACTGGAACAGACACTCTAGTTATATCCCCATAAGCCGTGTGATCCTGATGGCAGCTGGTATAGGCCAGGGAGAGTATAGACAGAATTTTTTTTTTTTTTCTTGAGACCGAGCCTCACTCTTGTTGCCCAGGCTAGAGTGCAGTGGCATGATCTCAGCTCACCGCAACCTCCTCCTCCCAGATTCAAGCGATTCTCCTGCCTTGGCCTCCTGAGTAGCAGGGATTACCGGGGCCCGCCACCATGCCTGGCTAATTTTTGTATTTTTCTTTTTTTTCAGTCTCCGTAGAGATTGTCAAAAATTGCCAATGCCGTTTATATTTCAAGTTGTCATGGCAGGGTATTAGGAAAAGTTTTCAGTTAGCAATAATCATGCCTCGGATAAACCTCATTGGCTATGATACTGCCACTGTGCAAAGCCAATTTTTGTATTTTTAGTAGAGATGGGGTTTCACCATGTTGGCTAGGCTGGTCCCGAACTCCTGACCTCAAGTGATCCACCCTCCTTGGTCTCCCAAAGTGCTGGGATTATAGGCGTGAGCTACTATGCCCATTCCAGAAAGAATAGTTTTAAGGAAACATAATTCCAGATGGAGTAGAGGGAAAAGTATTCTCCAAAAAGATATGAGTGCCATTGTCATCCTGTTAGAGGCTGAAAGACTTTCCTCCTCATGAGATGCTCTAATGACTGATTCAGATGTCCTCTATATACCTATGGAAGGTGGGAAGCACTCAGAGGAATTGGCCTCCAAGAGTTTTCAGAGACATAGGTTTATATCAAGAGACTTCCCCATAGACAGGCTAGGTCTAATCTAGAGTTCAGAGTTTTGTTGGGGAAAAAAATTCCCCCTTTTTGGCAGTGGTTCTCTCTGGTCTCAATTTTTCATTCTGATTCCATCCTGCTGGATTCCATCTAATGATGATTTCTTGATTTTTCTCTTTGCAGTTTTAATAGTGTATGCCAGGGAACTCACATTCTCTTTCGGGAATTCAGCTTCATCCAAGCCACCCCCCACAATAGAGTATCGTTTTTACGGGCCTTCTGGAGATGCTTCCGAACTGTGGGCAAAAATGGCGGTAAGTCTTCCCAAATTCTTTATTCCTTTCTTTCAAATTTTTCTTTTGTTCCTATAAATATTGTTTGAATGCATGCTATTCAAGATGTTTAGAATACCGCACTTTCGAGGAATTGTCTGGTTTATGTCAGAAATATTACTATTACCACTACCATGGCTAATGATAACCCATCAAGAGCCAAGTGTAGCTCTGAGCACTTTACATGTAGTCACTCGTCTATCTTTACAAGGGCTCTCTGTGCTAGACACTATAATCCCCATTTTGTAACTAATGAAAATTAGAACCAGAGAGGTTAAGCGACCTGGCAAGATTATATAGTAAATGTGGGGCCCAGATTTACACCCAGGCAGTCTGACTCCACAGCCCTTGCTCTTGGCAGATGTTAAAATGCCATGCGGTAAATACAAGGAAAAATGTGAATACAAAGAAAGAAACTCCTGAATGGCGGTGGGATGGGGATACTGTTGTTAGAGAAGGGGGAGAAAAGTGGAGTGGAGAAGGTCCTCTTAGATCAACTGGCTGCTTTATCTAAGGTGGGAAGTAAATAGGAATCATTCACATGGATACAGGAGAGAAGGGCATCCTAGGTAGATCACATGCTAAAGCACAGAAGAACCTAGAATATTTCAGAAACAGACCAGAATGTCTAGAGTTTGTGAAGGAGGTTAGGGGAGATGAGCCTGGAGATGAATAACAGACCTGCTGACAGATCATTTTTTAGCCATAAAAAAGAAATTGGACCGGGCACAGTGGCTCAGCCTGTAATCCCAGCACCTTGGGAGGCCAAGGTGGGTGGATCACTTGAGATCAGGAGTTCGAAGCCAGCCTGGCCAACATGGTGAAACCCCGTCTCTACTAAAAATACAAAAATTAGTGGTGGTGCGTGCCTATAATCCCAGCTACTCAGAAGGCTGAGGAACGAAAATCATTTGAACCCCGGGATCAGAGGTTGATATGAGCCAAGATTGTGCCACTGCACTCCCGCCTGAGTGACAGAGCAAGACTCTGCTTCAAAAAGAAAAGAAAAGAAACTGGAGCTGGATATGGTGGCTCACACCTGTAATTCCAGCACTTTGGGAGACAAAGGTGGGAGGAACATTTGAGCCCAGGAGTTTGAGACCAACCTGGGCAACATATTGAGAATTCATCTCTACAAAAAATCAACAAAATTAGCCAGGTGTGATGGCACATACCTGTAGTCACAGCTACTTGGGAGGCTGAGGTGGGAGAATCACTTGAGAGCGGGGATGTTGAGGCTACAGTGAGCCATGATTATGCCACTGACTCCAGCCTAGGTGACAGAGCGAGATCCTGAAAAAAAAAAAAAAAAAAAAAAGGTTAATTTTATTTTCTGGGTATTATTTGAAGGCTTTTTTTTTTTTTTTAAATATAAAGATGGGGTTTTACCATGTTGGTCAGGCAGGTCTTGAACTCCCAACCTCAGGTAATCCACCCACCTTGGCCTCCAAAGCGTTCTTGGATTACAGGCATGAGCCACCACGCCTGGCCTTTTTTTTTTTTTTTAAAGACCCTGTTGCCCAGGCTGAAGTGCAGTGGCATGATCATAGCTCACTATAACCTTGAGCTTACAGGCTCAAGTGATCTTCCTAACTCAGATCACTTGAGGTCAGGAGTTCAAGACCAGCCTGGCCAACATGGTAAAACCCCCTCTCTACTAAAAATACAAAAATTAGCCTGATGTGGTGGCGTGCTTCTGTAGTCCTTGCTGTTCAGGAGGCTGAGGCAGGAGAATTGCTTGAACCTGGGAGGTGGAGGTTGCAGTGAGCCAGAGGTTGCAGTGAGCCAAGATTGCACCACTGAACTCCAGCCTGGGTGACTGAGTGAGACTCCGTCTGAGAAAAGAGACAGTTTTTGTATTGATTCTAACTGAAAAAAGAGGAAGGCCTAAACTACTTCCTTATTCATTTAACAAATATTGCTGGCAGACTTACTATGTGCCTAGTGCTGAGGCTACAGTAAGTGAATAGGTAGATACCCTGCTTTTGAATTTATGGATTCCCCACCATGCTCTAATCAATGCTACTGCTACTGAAACTGTAACTTTTCTAAATAGCTACTAAATATATAGCTATTCAACTTTTATATATCATTGCTTTCTGAGGAGAAATTCATGGGAAAAGAAAAAATATATATATAGTTGCTAAATCTTTTCTAAAACTTTTCCACCCAATATATTATCAGTTCCACTATCCTAAGAAGTAGGTAAAGTGGGCATTATTGGGCCTATTTTTTAAATATTAAAATTGTATAACTTGCAGAAAGATTTCATAGTGGGTTAGTAGAAAGCTAGAAATAGAACCTAAATTTACTAATATGCTGATGTGTTATTTCTACTATTTTTACTTCAATCATTGCCTCTTTGACGTGTAACTCTGGAGATCATGCATCTCCATTACAGTATTGTGCAAGAAGTACTGAGTGTACTGAGGATCATATCATTTCCTTTACACAATAAATGCGCTAACCGGCAAAAACCCATGTAATGGGGACTCAATTTTAAGTGAAGTAACTCAGAAAAACTAGTCCATTGGTTTCTATGTAAACAAACTGGGAACTGTGAGTGTATAGGGAAAGTTTGTACTATATGATCAGAGCTTGTCTTTCCCAGTCCCTTATTCAGTCAGCAAATATTTGTTGTACACCACCTAGTACAGCCGTCTCTCAGTATATCCAGGGATTGGTTCCAGGACCCCTGCTTATACCAAAATCCATGCATAATCAAGGCCCACATTAGTCCTGAGGAACCCTCGTATATGGAAAGTCAGCCTTCTGTACACAGGGCTTCATACCCCTAGAATAGAGTATTCTTGATCCATATTTGGTTGAAGAAAATCCGCCTGTAAGTGTGGACCTGCACAGCTGAAACCTGTGTTGTTCAAGGATTGGCTGTATTGAAGAATACAACTAAAGCTAGTTTCAGTGATATACATATGGAGATAACAATGGAAAAAGGTCTTCAGATGGCCTTCACTGTTTTCCTGATGCACGAGTGGGGCCTCTTCAAGAATGTATTTACTATCCCAAGGGATTCATATAGCATTTGGACTCTTAGCAGATGTGGGTTTCTTTATCTTTCTAATAGCAGCTGCCAGTGACTCATCCAGCTGCTAAGAATAAGCAGCTCCAAATCCTCCCTGTTTCTCCTTGTGCCATAAACAAGACCTAGATTTTATGCTGGCTGTTTACTGTTATGCTTCTTAATCAGACAGCCTCAGATTTCTTAGATTAAATGCAACATCTGTGTTTAGGTGATTGTAAAATCATTAAGTAGTTTTAATAAATTTTCAGCTTTTTCTAGGAAACTTTTGAACATCTTTCTAAACCAGAATGTGTCAATCCTCAATTTTAATCCAGAATGAGTGAAAACTCTTGGAGGCAAGTTTCTAAAGTAAAGGATTTATTAAGCCCCGTTTTATCAATTACAATGCCAGGTACCTATCCACTCAGTGGAGCTCCTACTGCATTGTTCTTCTACAGATAACTTCCTTAGAACGTCATGTGCATATTTTAACATTATCAAGTGGAAACTAAGTCTTCTGGGAGGCAGCAAAAGAAGAGCATAACATATCTAAAAATCAAGCCACATGTAGAAATTCCAGGACCTGGTCCCTTTTGATAAGAAATATATTATTCCAGTTTTTAGCAAGTACAGGGGTATAATATCATTTCTGCTTGACTGAGTACTAATTATCCTGTCCAGATTTAGATAATCTTATGAAGACTGGAGTGAACCTCTTGCTATCTAAGAAACCTTAGACTCTTGGAGGCCAAATGTTATATTAGAATTTTAAAAGCCTTTAAAATTATACATCTCACTTTGCTAATTTTTTGGTATAGAAATATTAATCTGAATTTTCTAAGTCTGGCAAAGATTGATATTCTCTTGATGTAAATCTTTACTTCTCTTTAGGGATATGAGCTCAAAAGAGCCTTCTCCAATCTTATTTTCAGTAAAAATTTAATTTTGAATATATATATATATATATATATATATATATATATATATATAATTTAATTTAATAAAATAATGATAGATACTTCCTCTTCTACCCAGGAAGAACTACCTAGTAAGGGAATTGCCCTCTTGCCACTAACGATGAGAAAATCAGAATATCTGCAACAACGGTTTTCAGACATTAGATGATAGTGGGGACTGTGGATTCTGAGAAGCAGTTTCCAAGCAATGGTATAGGGAGGGAGATTGTCAACAAGCTTAGCAGTGTTACTGACTTGAGGAGGCAGAGACTGGGGTGTAGGGAGGCTGGAGCAGCCAGAATTTGCAGGTCAGAATTCAAGAGAGGAAGGAGTTGTTCAGTGAGCTCCAGAATCTTTGGCTACAAACTCTGCGTATGTGTGGGTTGGAAAAAGAACCACCAGAAAACAGTGGGCCAAACAATTTCTGGTGTATACAAGGGGCTGAGGATAATTCACACTCCTATCAGCCATAGTGGAGAGGCCTCAAAACTAACAGGGCGTTGGGTAGAGTTCTCAACAGTTTAAAAGCAAAAAGGATTAACTTGTTCTGCAAGTAATTTAACGCCATACAAGAACAAAGTTCAATAATCTTTAAAGGAATTCAGCAAAATCCAGCATTCAGCACTGCAAAATTCAGAAAGTCTGACATCCGCTTCAATATTACCAGACAGGCCAAGCATGATGGCTCATGCCTACAATTCCAGCACTTTGGGAGGCCAAGGCAAGTGGATTGTTTGAGCCCAGGAGTTCATGAAAAGCCTGGGCAACATGGCAAAACAAAAAATTTTGAAAAATTAGTTGGGTGTGGTGGTGCACACCTGTAGTCTCAGCTACTCAGAAGGCTGAGGTGGGAGGAGTGCTTGAGCCTAGAAGGTCGAGGCTGCAGTGAGCTGTGATCCCACCAGTGCACTCCAGCCTGGGCGATAGATTGAGACCCTGTCTCAAAAAAAAACAAAACAAAATTATCAGACATTAAATGGAGCAGGAAAATACAGCCCATAATC